AAAAAAAAAAAAAAAAAAAAAAAAAATCTTCATAAACAAATGAGAATTTCTAGAAAAGTTTAAGTAATAGCTATTATAGTACTAAATCAAGTCTATAACCAATATAATAGATCCTACAGTTTAGTGAAACTTCCTTTAATTTTCTTTTCAATTGCATTACACATGATTTCAAATAATTTTCATGATAAAATATTTAAATGAGCCATATATTTTCCTAAATACAAATTGTTAAAGATGTTTCCTCAGTGTTTTAAAATCAACACATCTAATTATTCTTTTTCTTTTCCCTTGTCTAGCTTTTGAGTATTTCTAAATAAACACAGAACAAATTTATACTGAGTATTCTCATATTGTGTTCCTTTCCAACACCCGGTATTGTTGATGGATTATATCACAGTTCTTACATGTCACATTTCTATTTATACTTGGCAGGGTCATACTGACTTTTTTTTTAAGGGTTCTTATTTAACTTGTGGTCAAATATGACTCTAAGATCTTTTTTTGTGTGTGTGTGTGCTGTTAATAATTCTGCTTTTAGGGCTGGGTGTGCTGGCTCATGCCTGTAATCCTAGCACTGTTAAAAAGCCCAGGTGAGTAGATCACTTGAGAACAGGAGCTCGAGACCAGCTTGGCCAAACAGTGAAACCCTGTCTCTACTAAAAATACAAAAAATTAGCCAGGCATGGTGGTGCACACCTGTAATCCCAGCTACTCAGGAGGCTGAGGAACAAGAATAGCTTGAGCTCAGGAGGTGGAGGTTGCAGTGAGCAGATCATGTCATTGCACTCCAGCTTGGGTGACAGAGCGAGACTATCTTAAAAAAAAAAACCAACTTTTTTTCAATTAAAAAAATCTGCATTTAGGTAATTTATTTTTTCACCCATTTGAAAATCAGCTTTCATCAAGGAGGGTCATTTTAAAAATTGATTCTTATTTTCTATAAATGCCAGGTGCCCTAATCTACTGTCTCTTAGAAACAATATAAATATCCTCTTGAGTCTATAAGTATTACTCACTGCTTATCCTTGGGACCCTGCTATAGAAACTTCAGCTGATACAAAACCACTAATCATTACTGTATAGTTTGGGACAACTCAACCAATCAATAGTATATTTTAAATCATATTTCTCTAATCTGTGGATGAAAATTTTATCTGAAATGGAATTAAAAAAAAAAAAGATCAGAAATGGAATTTTTTTCTTTTTTTAAAAGAAATGCTTGATATAGTCCTACATATCTACTGCAGGTCTTTAGACTCATTATCAAAGAAAGAAATTATATGTTTTAAAGTTATTATCTCTTATAACAACGTAGTTTGGGGGCTATATAACTAAATGTGGCATAGTGAGAAATGGCTGACAGCAATTGAGTTTTATAAAACATCCCTAGACTCAAGAAGGAACTAAAATGAAGAAATAAGCAAGCAAACAGGCAAAGGTTAAAAAGTGTCAGAAAAACCTGCAATTTTTTCTAGCATGGCTGAGTTCCTGGCATAAATAGATAACCAAGAAGAAATTCAAGAATACACCTGACATTCTGACTACAAAGATGACTAGGAAGAATTAAAGTAGTTCTATGCTTGGTTGTTGATGCCTTGACAGTAATTAAATAATTGAAAATAGAAGAGAGGGGGAAAATGGAGATGGTAGGGATGAATAGTAGCAACTAGATAAAGCAATGATTTGACTGGTAAAGAGCAGATGCTGATGGTAAAGAAGATACCCAGAAACAAAATACAGCAGGAAAAGCAACTTGAAAGCATCATGGGGGAGACAGGAGGCAAATATACACTTACTTTAAAAAAGTCCAAATCCCAAAAACAGTAGTGCAAATGAGGAAGTGCTAAAATATCTTTAAAGAAGATCGGGAGTGGGCAAATAAGTGGCAAAATGATTATTAAAACAAATCTGACTGCTTAACACTGCTTCCAAAATAGTTCACTCATAAAAACCTAGAACATTTTTTAGACTCATGTAGATGTATTAATTACATCACTACCTTTGCATATCATTTTAACAAAATAAAATACTGCACAGAAAACATATATACAGATACAGATGCTTACTTGTATGGTTTCTGTGGCAAGATGCTGATCCGAGTCTTGTCGAGTATCTTTTTCAGCTTGTTCCTTCCTCCAACAGTGTTGGCTTTACTTTTTTTGTTCACTTTTTCAAGTCCTATCACCTGTTCTACATCTACAGCAAGATCTGGAATGGAGTAGCGACTGGCCTTTTTGATGTCACCAATTTTAGGAAGGTGGGGGGCACCATTTCTTTTCTCTTCTGACAACCTTGTTAGTAGTTCTTTAAATACTAAAATAAAAACAGAAACACCATATAATGGCAATTATAAGTTATCAGAACAATTCTAAAGCAATTGCGGAAGTTGGAAATATATGAGAAGTACAGACTTCAGTTATCAAAACTGCAAACCTGTAGAAAAACAGTATCACAGAAAATGAATCACACCAAATCTGCTTGGTATGTTGCTCTATCAAAGTAAGTTTTAAAAGAGTCTTTAATCTGTTAAGTATTTTAGTATTTATCAATAAAAGATTTCAGTTATCAATAAAGGCATAAATTAAAAATATTTTTTATGGTCAAGTCAGATTTTTATTTAGATCTAATCTATGCTTTTACCACATATGCTTTCTTATGATGTTTGAAATACTGAAAAAAAGACCAAAAGGAGAAAAATGAAAGTATGCAAAATACTTACCAAATAAATTGGTTTTCACAGTGATAGATAAATGTGTGTTATTTCTAAGAATTTCCATGGCTTTTGACAGCTGAATATTTTCAAAGTTTTGGCCATTTACTTCTAATATCTAAAAATGAAATTATAAAATTAATAAAAAAAAAAAAAAAAAAAAAAAAAAAAAAAAAAAAAAAAAAAAAAAAAAAAAAAAAAAAAAAAAAAAAAAAAAAAAACCAGACACCAAAATTAAATCTGAGATTAGATATAGCATACCTGATCCCCCCGTTTCAAGCCTGCTTCGGTTGCTTTGCTACCTGAATCTACACTGTCAACAAAGATTCCAAATCCCTTCTCAGAGCCTCCAAGTAAGATAAAAGGCAATGGAGCTTCTCGGGATGGTTTTGTTAACGTCATCAATCTTCTTTTTGCTTTAGCAGCACATGCAATATTTAACAGCCTTAGGTGTCCACCCATTTTCTATAAGAGTTCAGAAACAATAGTGTCAACTCAAAAACAGGCTAAATAAAATGAACTTGAAGCTGATCTTAAAAAAAAAAAACAAAAAACAAAAAACAAATATTACCTCTCTTTCCAGATTATTTTCAAATTCTTCTAAAAATCGAGTCATTGCAGGGTCTCCTTCAAAGTCATTGAAGTGATTATTTACCCACAATAATACTACCCGTGTAACCTGAAAAACCAATTATTTTAAATAAATTTCCTTTTTAGTGCCAAAAATGTGATTAAAGTCATTCCAGAAAAGATATCCAACTTTCAAACATTTACCTAATAATAATAAATAGGAAAATAAATGAACAATAATAAAATCTTCCATGAGGATGACCTTCTGAAAATATATTTTTTTACTTTGAATATAGACTTCATGTTGCCTTGCCAGGAATGGTTCTGAGTCTGAGGGTATTTAACATAAAATTTGTCTAACTTTCAAAATGCATTTGAAAAAGATCAGAATAAAAGAAAGGTATAATAAAACCAAAATCAGCTAATACAAAAGACAGAAACTAGAAACTAAAGGTAGAAAAACTGACTAGACAAAGAGAATGAACACTTTTAAGCCTAGAAAGCTCTGTAAGGGTACAGAATAGAAAAGGAAGGAGATAAGACAATGTAGTTTATCATCCAATCTGTCCTTAGAGCTCTAGGTGGTCCCCTTAGAATTACAATCCTAGGGCCTACAGAGAGTGATGACTGTCATGAAATGCTGCTCGGGTGCCAATTTAAAAATTGTGACTTTTATCTGGTGTACACTTTAATACCAAACTAGGAAATGCAGATTCCTATGGAATCCAGATGTTTATGTTTTAACATACTCCCAACAGAACTTTAAAAATGTTTAAACATTTGGTGGCCAATTTACTGGCCTTTGCATTTAAAAAAAAAAAAGACATTTCTGAGCCTGAACTAATATTCAGTATCTTTTTTTTTTTTTGCTTAAGTACATTCTTGTATTTTATTACATTAATCTGGACATAACTGCTGTGACAAATTTAAACATTAAAGTATCTTTAGGTTCACATTTTAACATTCCATATTTAACAGCCAAAACTGAATATATTTCCAACCTTATCCCTGAGGCTCGGGTCATTAAACCACTCCAATAACTTTTTGCCCACTTCCATTGGGCTAGAAAGAAAAGTTCTATAGGTCAACAGAAAGTCTTCTATGAATGTTGGATCTACTACTGAATGCTCTTCCACTAAATGCATTGTTAACCTTTCTGAGGTACCCTGTAACAAAGAAAAGGTTTAATTAATATATATATATAACATTTATATGGGACCGGAATTTCAAACATTCAACATAAAATGAACTGGGTAGTAATACAGTCAACAATTAATGAAGTTTGCTATTCATCAGGAGATCATACATAAAGACTTTTCACAACTGATAACCTTTAAGAGATATGCTTAAAAATGAAAACATCTGAAACTGCCACAACTGATACTACCAAAAACACTCCTTTCCTTGGGAAGGGGGAGTGGTCCTGTGTCCTACCTTGATGACAATGTGTCCCTTTCTTGTTCCGGTTCGATCAAGTTCTCGGTGTTCTTTCACCATAACAATCTCTCCTTCCTCTTCAACTTTTTGCATGTTCTTTTCTACTTGGTTGAGAATACGGCAGTAATCTTGCTGGGCTATGCAGACAAACTGGAATAAAATATAAGTCACATGTTAATGATAAAGTGCTTGCAAAAGACCTAGCAGTACTAATAATTCAGTTTTAATTATTTAAAACTGACATTTTTCCCTGTCTTTCCCATACTTTCTAAATTAATGCTGTAATGAACCTTAATCAGACATCTCTACTTTTAATGTATTTCTCCCTTGGTTAAGGAAAGTTTCAATTTTAGAATATTTATATGTATTTTATATCCAAAATCCTAACAATTTTAAAAATCAAAAGAAAAAATTTAGAACAGTGCTTTTTCATGCTCCTTTCACAATTAAAAAAACATTGCAGTGGGGGGAGTGGAATTGTAGGAGAATAGATGTAAAAATTTAATTATCATTTAGTGAATTAAAAGAATTTGAAAAAGCAACAATTTTTGAATAAAAATGATTTTAATGAAAGATACAGACATTCAAAGATACCTATGGAGTAGATATATTAATTTGCTAATTATACTGATGAAACATCATTTTAGAAAGCTTGTTAAAAGAAGGTCAAAACACAAACCACGTATGTGTTATAGCTCAAATAATTTTCCTTATAACTGGTATTAAGGGTAATCCTTGTTCTTAAAGAAAAAGTTAACAATAATGCATATCAAGTCATTACTTTCCCTGACCCCAAATATAAAAAATTTCAGGGCTTAGGGCAAACACTTAAGAAATTACATTTCTTAGTAGATTTAAAGAAAGTTAATGAATGAATGATAGAAATCACTTATTATACAAATTAACTAGAGGTCAGTGAGGAGACAAGAGATCATCTGGAAATGGAAAGCGGCATGGTATTTCTTTTTCTCCTTTAGTGTGAAGAAGATGGAAAAGGCGATGATTAAATTACATTGTAAATAAGATAAAACATGATGCAACCACCTGAAATCATGATTTCATAGGGTACTTACAGCTCTGATAATACATTATTCTTTTTATGTTGCTCATATTACATTGATTTTTAAAAAGATACAATACTAAATATTTTAATAATCATAATGACAACATCTGCATCATCATCACCATCACCATCATACTGTGGCAGCCTTATGGAACTTTTTCAATTCATCCTAATCAAACCATGAGGAAGGTGCTATTATCACCATTAGACAGAGGAGTAAACAGCCCGATGTCTCTTAACTACGTGTTGGCTATTTTAAAATAAATTATACATGCACATCAAAATCTTGGAGGGAAATAAACTATTAATAGTATTTCTGAGCAATGCAAATTGTGAGTGACTTTCATTTTATTTAATGTCTTTCTATATTTTTCATGCTTTCTGCATGATCAATAGGTTTGTTTTTTAAGTAGAAGCAGCAGTTCATAAGAGGAACACCATATTGCAGGATCACGTTTCTCCGAGTTGGCTAATCTCACCAATTTTTCTTTTAAGCATTTTGAAGAAAAAGTTAAAAATTAAAAGATGAAGTTTTTTTTGTACTAGTAATTATGCATACTTTAATTACTTTAAAAATACCTTTAGAGCTCTGATATTACATTTTAAAAATATTGCTTATAGTATGATGCTAATTTTATAAACTGTTAACATTATTTCTGAGTAATTTCCTTAATACTGACCATAGATGTGTAACGTTTCGAAATATATGATCCTTAGTTTCTTATCTAAAAAATATTTTATTTCTTTGTACACATCAACAAAATTATTCCCAAATACATGTAAGAGATTTAGAAAAGTTTTATTTCCAGATAATTTTAGGTGTTTTTTCTTATGCTCAGTTTTAGAGAACATAATTAAATACTCATTTTCTCATTTATCTTCTAAAAAAGAAATATATCCCTGAATTCAACGGAATAAGTAGATACAAGGGGAAAATGTTTTTTGAAGAGAAATGTACTAAAATTAATCTTCTTGACTAAAGATTTTTTTAAATTAGAATACATTTGATTTGAAATTCTTAGTGTCTAGACAGACATTTTGGCATTTCTTCTGCAGCAAGCTGAAATACCATCCAAAAAAAAAAAAAAAAACACAAAAACTGAATTTCTAATATGGTCATACAGAACTGGTACCTAAAGAGAAATACATTTTAGATGAAAATATTTATCTTTTTAAAATAAGCAACTTATTTTTGCTACAACAAATTTATAGATCTAACATGAAATTCACAGGTAACATTTAATTTTAACTGGTATGATGAAGTCAGTTGAAAAAATCTTTGTTTTTTATTTTTTGAGATAGAGCCTTGTTCTACTGCCCAGGCTAGAGTGCAGTGGTACGATCTCAGCTCACTGCAACCTCTGCCTCCTAGGTTCAAGTGATTCTGTTTCAGCCTCCCGAGTAGCTGGGATTACAGGCGCCTGCCACCACATCCGGCTAATTTTCTTTGTATTTTTGTAGAGACGGGGTTTCATCATGCTAGCCAGGCTGGTTTCAAACTCCTGACCTTGTAATCTGCCCGCCTTGGCCTCCCCAAGTGTTGGGATTACAGGCGTGAGCCACTGCACCTGGCGTGAGAATCTTTGAATTGTTTTACTGAGGTTTTAGATTTCTGTAAATCTCATGCGTTTCAGATTGCTGTAAACCCATGAAAGTACTGTATGATCTCAGTACCCTGATATGAAATAAAGTCAATGGCAGTTTATATCATAGGATTATTTTCCTTTGGGCATGACATTATAATTTGTATTTAAGGAGAAACATTACAGATGATAAATGAAGTAAAATTAAACTTCAATCCACATATAGTATAATCAATTTTCAATTTATCCACAGCAAACTGTTTTCTCATCTAAAACTGCTTCTCACATTCTAAGTACAATTAGCTCCTATGATTCCAGGAAGAGGTGAGTCTAACACAGATTTGCTTTAAGAGGCTGGATCTATTTAAACTGGCACTTTCCAGTCTGTGAGGGAAATTCCTACCTAATTGTTCACATAGGTATCCAAGTGTTCATTCCCCACTTGAAGAGTGGAGGGTAGGGCTAAGCAATGCCTGGGTGTCACTGGCAGGCCTCAAACACAGGCAGTGGAGAAGGAAAAAAAGGAGAAGAATAAAGGGAGTAAGAGGGCAAAAGAGGAAATGAAGAAATGGAAACAGGAGAAGGGAAAAAGAAAAGAAAGAGGTATATGTGGGTAATGGAAAACCATTACAAATTGCCTAGTACCACAGGATGTGTTTATCAAGCTCTGAACTTTGTCGTTTCACACCAGACAGGGAATAAGAACACACTGAAGAGGGAGAACTGGAAGAGAACACAAAGAAGGGACCCAGAACAAAACATGAGCTTGTCCATGTCATGGGATCCAAACAAATATATCTTAAATTTAATTCATTCATCATTGTATTCTTAGGCGTAACATGAGCTCAACCATCTTATGACAGTAACCAATATTTATTTTGGAACTCCCTGAAATATAAGATAATGAGGACAAAGCCTAGGTGAAGTTGCTTTATTCTTGGTAAAGACAGCATCATTTTTGCTCAATTCACTCAATAACTTGCTTCCCTACAATATGGTCAGTAAAATGAAAGAAACACATGGAAGCTATTTTATGCACAAATAAAAACATGGTTCTGTTTCCTTTACTTCTCCTAATAAGGAGATGATCTAACATTTGTATTTTCTGACAGATATGACATTTTAACAGAAATACCTTAAAATGCTGTCCCAGGCAAGCACTTACATTAAAATGTCAAAATTAGTTCTCCATCCCTGTTTAAGAAATTCTTTAGGGTTAAAATGCCAGGCTTGAGCAGACAGGTGGGTGGAAGTATAGGAAGGAAATCCCTGATTAACATATTCCTTTTACAGTGGTGTAGAGTGTAGTAGAGAGGAAGACACGGACTTCTTCTAGCAGGTACCTCACCCTTGATGCTTTTCATAATTAACTTCACACTAGGAGCTATGGAGTCTATATATCTTAATTAGAGTTTCCTTTTGAATTGGACTCTACCTTACTGACTATCCGGGTTTCCCACTAATCCCTCACTTTGTAAGTAAATTAGACTCTCTTCCCTAATATAATCCCTACCTCCTCTTCCTTTTCCAGAACTCCCAGATAAATAGTTAAATGTTACCTGGTACATTTGACATGACTTAACCACTCTGTAATATTCACTCATATAACATTTCAATCAATTATCCTGAAACATTTCTATGCTGCCTATCATTTCAGTCTCATAAAATTTCTAACAAAGGACTTGAATAACTAAGAGGTGTTAATGTAATGGCTCAACTCTCAAAAAGAAGTAACTTTTACTTGCCCTTTAAGGACACACACTCTAACTCAAACACTATTGTAATTCCACTTTGTAGAAGGGTTCAGGGAAGAACTGAGATAACAGGAGACAGGAAAAACCTTTACTAATTTGCTAGCTTGTTTTGACTCAGTTTAGTTTTTTTCATTTTTTTTTTAAAGTACAATTCCAGAGCTGAAATAGCATATATAATTTCCTTTAAATGCACATTACTGCTAAATAAAGACTTCAATATTCATCATCTGTTTTCCTCTATTACACAACAGAACTGAGAATATACCATTTTGTTTTCCTCTATTACACAAAATAATTGAGAAGTAAGTATATTGAGAATGCTTTTCTGGCATTACATATTTAAAATACTGAATTCATAGCCTTATTATTATTATTATTATTTTTTGCTCTCTGGTGCTCATGGAAGGAATTAGCTGGTGGAATTATTTAGAAGCATTTAAAAACAGACTAGAGAAAAAGGCCAAATGTGAAACTAGATTTATTTAACTGGCAACCACTATATTACAAAGAAATACATTTAAGATGCTTTTGTTATTATTAGATGCTTATAATTTATGACTTATCTTCTAAGGTAAGTAATTTTATGTATAGCCATGATCATTTTTCTTTTTAGTAAGTAAAATGCTTAAAAATGAGTATTTCAATGAGTGATACCATTTTACATTGATCATATACCATCATTCAATTGTGTTATTTTAGAATAAACTACTTTCAGATGTTTTCCAAATTACAGACTAATAAATACAGTGACAATTAGTCTAAGCCACATCATTTGGTTATTTACACTTAATTTTCTTTCAAAGACAAATTCTTTTAGAAGATAAGTCATCAATTATAAACACCTAATAATAACAAAAGCATCTTAAATGTATTTCTTTGTAATACAGTGGTTGCCACTTAATCTAGTTTCACATTTGGCGTTTAGTATTTTCTCTACTCTATTATTAAATGCTTTTAAATAATGACTATTAATACAACATCAATACTGATATTTCTCTTTTGCTATCAAGTATTTTCTTTTTATTAGCTATTATTTAACTAGCAAGTCACTCTACAGATTCATACTATGATTAATTTCCATGACTCTTCTAAAATCAATTTCTTATATATATTTACATAAAAACACTGCATAACTATTCATATCACCTTTATTAAGTATTTACCTTCATAATGTGCATTTTACTTCCATATTTTGATAATAGATTATTATCATTGATGGCAATTTAAAAATACCATACTCACATTTTTTTAAAATCAAACACATAGTTCTCTGTAGTTCAAGTAACTGTAATGAAGATTAATTTTAATTTTTTCTGGGTTGTTACAACACTAAAAGTAATAGTTTCACATTAACATTTTATTGGTGCTGGGCATGGTGGCTTATGCCTGTATTCCCAGCACTTTGGGAGGCTGAGGAGGATGGATCGCTTGAGGTCAGAAGTTTGAAAACAGCCCTGGGCCAATATGGTGAAACCCGTCTCTACTAAAAATACAAAAATTAGCCAAGGTGTGGTGGTGAGTGCCTGTAATCCCAGTTGCTTAGGAGCTGAGGCAGGAGAATCACCCAAACCCAGGAGGCGGAGGTTACAGTGAGCTGAGATCATGCCACTGCACTCCAGCCTGGGTGACAGAGCAATACTCCATGTCAAAAAAACAAAATTATTTGTAACATATTTATATAGGAAGTAAAATCTCATCACAATGGCATGTAAGTATTCTTTATTAAGAATGAAATATATATTTTTATGATATTTATACCTGGCAGTCATCCACCTTTGTTCTCATCACTCCTTTCATGTATTCTTTGTCCATGGTAGGAGAGACACCAAAACTATTTCCCATACACAGTATTTCTGCTTTTCCATCTGGATAAGTCACTTCCACAGATCCATTGAGAATCACTGACCAGGAGTCCAGCTAATCCAAAAAAATAAAGACAAAGCAGAAAGTAACATCATAATTATACAGATGTGTATCAGTATGGTCCCTAAATATGAATTCGCAGATCTTCCAAGTTTAGAGATAAAACAAGTAACTAAGGTGAAGGTCACTGTTTAACAAGTTCACAGAATAAGGAATAAAACACAGCCACATATCTACCTACTTCCATATGCCTAGCACAGAATGCATATCATAATGTCCTTTGAATTTGACTTTGCATATTCTCCTCTAAAACGACAAAAGGAAAAAAAATTACTCTGTCCCCCCAAAGCTCATGTAGACAAGATAAAATGATCATTGCCTCAGTAAGAATATCATTTGGTCTGACAAAAGGCATTATTATAGTTATGAACATTTAAGTTGCAAAAACTGAAAAGTTAATATATCAAAAAATTTCCATTTGCATAAAAATTCTGCAAATGATGGGAAATATGATGGATTTGGAATACAGTGACTCATATGGTTTGGCTCTGTGTCCCCAATCAGATCTCATGTTGAGTTATACTCCCATAATTCCCATGTCTTGTGGGAGGGACCTGGTGGGAGATAATTTGAATCATATGGGTGGTCTCCCCCATCCTGTTCCGGTGGTAGTGGATAGGTCTCACAAGATCTGATGGTTTTATCAGGAGTTTCTACTTTTGCATCTTCCTCATTTTCTCTCTTACTGCAGCCATGTAAGAAGTGCCTTTTGCCTCCCCGCCATGATTCTGAGGCCTCATCAGCCATGTGGAACTGTAAGTCCAATTAAACCTCTTTTTCTTCCCAGTCTTGGGTATGTCTTCATCTGCAGCATGAAAACGGACTAATACAGTAACATAACAGGTGTATCATAATTCTTGATTTATTCAAACTTACTATTGTTGGGTATTAAAAAAGAAAAAGCAAGAATTTGGGTTTTGTTCAATTGCTATATTGAGATATCTTTAAGAAGAAACTTTTTAAGTGGTAGGAATATTTATTCACCTCTTCACCATCATTTAACACTATGGTCCCTGCTCTTTCCACCACTGCGAACACCATCACGGCACAGAGTTCTCGCCTCACCGACATTGTCATATTGGCAAAAGCAGGCAACTGGTGCATAAATTCCAAGAGTTGTTCTGAAAAGCAAAAGACATCTTTTGTCAAAACTACAACTTTTATTAAAACTAAGTATTCAAAAAGCATGATTTAGGGTCCTTTCTTTTTAAATGCTCTACAATTTTGCTTATTGAAAAATACATCTCAAGATCTTTAGCACCAGGTGAACTTCTTGCAGGTACACAAAGAATTCTGTCGCTGTGGAAATCATGCCTCTTACTTGTTGAATTAGAGGCAACAGTTTACATTGTAACTCCAGTTCAAATGCCACTAAAGATGTTACTAAACTTCAAATGGGAAATTTCAATTGTAAATGAGATATAAGGCTTATTATTGTAAGAGTGAAAATGAAAGGCGGCTCAGAATTCTCCAACAAGTCAGTTAGTCCATTCCTGCACCTTTTGGGCAGGTGGATGCCAAAATAGTCAGCAGAAATAACTATTTAATTCAAAAACATTCTAAGGAATATTTGCCATGGACCAAATCCATAAAAACCGATCTATTAAAAAATTATAGGCAAAAAAGGAAGTTTACTCACTCTCCCTTCTTATTGGGATGCTGTGGAGAAAGAGCTTCTACCTTGGTATGATGCTAGCTGTTGATGTCACAGTCTCTTCAAGTCCTGGGTTTTCTATTTTTAAAAGTCCTTTGTTTCCCTATCATTCAATAGCTTTACTAACTATGTACCAAGTTCTTCCCTTACTCCTCACCATGGCTCTGTGAAGTGTATTTTCCTTTTAATTTTGTAGGGAGGAAACCAAAGCTCAGCATCATATAATTAAGAGATGGCAAGACCAGGCGCGGTGGCTCATGCCTATAATCCCAACGTTTTGAAAGACTAAAGCAGGAGACATGCTTGAGCCCAGGAGTTTAAGACCAGCTTGGGCAACATAGCAAGACCCTATCTCTATAAAATATTTTAAAAATCAGCTACATGTGCTGGTATGTGCCTATACTCCCAGCTACTGAGGAGGCCAAGGTGGGAGGATTACTTGTGCCCAAGAGTTTGAGGTTATAGTGAACAGTGATTGTGACAATCCACTCCATCCTGGGTGAAAGAGTGAGACTCTGACTCTTTTTAAAAAAGAAAAAAAAAAGGTGGCAGTGACATGATTCAGGACCATCTGCTTCCAAAGGTCATGCTGGACTTTAAAGGTAGTGGTAAAGAGCACAAGGTATATACTGGACATTATTACTTTGGGCAAGTTGATTAATTTACCTAAGTTATAGTTTTCTCACTTAAAAGAAAAATACAATATCTACTTTACTGGATGGCTATGAGAATAAAATGCAATAAAGATGATAAAAGTCCATGGTACAGAATAAATAATATATGAGAACTGCTATTACTGTCATTATTATAATAATCGATATCATTCAAACTTTCAGCTAAATAAAAATTATACTAGATGTTTCTTGTACATACCAAACATTCCCTATGTATAGTCCTACTATCTGTTAAGATTTAGTGACAAATTTTATGTTCTTGGATATAGTTTGTTAACTGCTAAAACAAAGTACAACAGAAAGATATATGCTGTGTATATATTTTCCCGGATGCAACATTTCTGGAAGGACAGACTGAATGGTTTTCTCTGGCCCAGTTGGGCAATGGCATGTTCCGATTGGTATCTATGTCATCCCTCCTACATAAGACTTTTCATTACACAGGGGGGCTCTGGCAATAAGGAAAATGATAATGACAGGTGTACCCAAAGATTCTGTCCGACAGTGTTCTGCAACCTGACTCAAATTTATGTGTCAGGAAATCACTTTACTTTTGCTGCCAGTATTTTTTAAAAAAGAAGTTAAACTATCAAAGCACATCATATAAAGGAAGAATACATTCTGTTTCGTGAAACTTTTATTTCTAGAATGAGTAGGAGTGTCTGTGCTGTACCATAAAATATATTTATTCCTGGAGAAGCAGTAAAGCAATTCTGAATACCACTGCAAGAGATGACCCATATCTATCACATATGGGAGGCAGGAATCACTGTTTTACCAATGCATTGACCTTTTGATTTGAGTCACAAAGGCAAATGAACAAGTCATGGTCCTCTGAAGCACATCCCAGTTAGTTCTGCTGTTTCCAGCCTCTGTTTTCTTTAGCCATCATCCCTCACACCTCACCATAAAGTATGACACTATTACCTACAGACCATGCATTTTACTTTTTCCACCTCTAGTAGTTGCTAAATTTCGTTGGATAAGCAAACATTTTAAGAAATGTTTTAAGAAAAATCTGGGCCAGAAATTGTCAGAAATGTTTTGAATTTAGTATCTGATTAGATAATAACAGAAGTCAAATAATTACCATATATATAATCAGAAAACAAAAAGAGGGCAAAAAATACAATGTACCTTCACAAGTATTTGTTGCAATAATTTTAAAGTGCTTTGTGTAGACATACTGCTTGCTTTTTGGCAGACTCTTACTCTATTAGTGGGTCATGAATTTAATTTGTGATATATGTGTAGTGGCTAGCATTAAAAAAATAGAACAGGATAGAAAATAACTGTGAATCACATATTATAAGAATAAAGAAGGCAAAAAGATCTAATAGTAAATGTACAAAATTATCCAGGCTCAGTTGAAAAACCAGAAATACATAAATGTTAAACCAGATGGCATGTAAGACTTTTTAAGATTTTAAGAATTCAATAATGGTATCACTGGTTTTGTGATACCTTCCATGTTATATTATACTAGATGATTGGAGCAATTTTAAAAAATAGAACTATTTCATAACCAATCTTGTAGGTGTGTACACACACACACACACACACACACACACACACACGAAACAAAAGCAGTGGCTATAGGGCAGCAGTCTCCAACCTTTTTGGCACCAGAGACAGGTTTTGTGAAAGACAGTTTTTCCATGGTCAGTGTGTGAGCCTCGTGGGTGTGGTGGGATAATTTTGGGATGAAACTGTTCTACCTCAGATCATCAGGCATTAGAGTCTCATAAGGAGTGCACAACCTAGAACCCTTGCATATGGAGTTCACAGTAGGGTTTGCACTCCTACGAGAAACTAATGCTGCCACTGATCTGACGGGAGGTGGAGCTCAGGTGGTAATGCTCCCTCACCTTCTGCTCACCTCCTGCTGTGCGGCCCAGCTCCTAACAGGCCAGGAACTAGTACTAGTCTACGGCTCAGGGGTGGAGTCTCCTGCTACAGGGGGCTCAAAACTCTGACAATGCTACAGGTATCATACGGACTTAAATAGCTTAGGGTAGCCAAGAATTCAGAGCCTGGGATAGATACTAGGACAGTCCCCAGGACACATGAAAAGAAGCTATGGATGACAGAAACAGGACTACTTTCTATTGTATTTCTTAGAACAAAATCTATAGAATTATACACTTACCTATTAGAATGATACTCTGTTGCCACCTATCTAATGTATATGGGAAAATATTATGTTTTAAAAACATTTTATTGACAATGTACCATTTAAAAAAACAAATAATTAACTTATAGATACCAGAAGACAAAGCCAATTCAGAAAATTAGCTTATCTTGGTTTTGCTTGATACAATTTTATGTAAGAAATGTTTTTATTAAATTTTTTGTAACAAACCTGAGGTTTGTTAAAAGATATTAAAGTAGTCCTTGTGTCAAGCCCTCAAAACAAAAAAAATTTTTTTACAACCATTTAATAATGGAATACCGACAAAATTATGCATTCCAGGGCAAAAATTAGTATGATAAAGTCCCTTCCATCAAAGTACTGAAACAAAAGTATACCCAAGAATCTATCAGAACCCAAAGGGAATTTTTTTTTTCCTGCAGCTGGTAAAAGTATGTTCAAATATTAGCAATTTCATTTGATTCACCTTAAACACTCACACATGCACTCATGTGCTTGCATACACAAAATCTCTCCTCTTTTTTTGCAGGGAAGAGGAAGTTGGGTTGGAAGAGAGACATCTAAAGAAAACATCAACCATACAGGTGTTTGTATTTTATATAAAGGTGTCTAATTAAATCCTGGAGGATGAGTTACATTTAACAAGAGCTAACAGTTCTCACACATTTTATTTTCAGGGAAGTAGAATACAAAATCTTTCAAGATCTTACATGGAACAAACAACACCCTTTAGGACTTCTCTGTTATGTTAGTGATTACTTTAAATAAATGTATATTTGATAGATGCAAGCATGACAATTGTCACTGCTTGCAAGTAAAGTGGTATTCAAATAAATGTTACTCACTGTAGGAATTATATTGACAAGTATTTTCTTTTTTTAAAAAAAGATGGCTTTGTATTTATTTATAGGAATCACCATGGCTGCTGCTTTCTAGAGATACTGGGAGAGAGGGCTTCTCAGATATCAACTGAAAGTCTTAAATTTCCAGGAATGACAGACATGCTACATATATTTTAATAATCAGCATTTTCTTCCACAACTATTTTAAAATGAACAGATTCAAAAAAGATATATTAGTTTACAAAATGATAAATTCCAAATCAATCTATTCATAAGTAAGTTCCATTTAATTTTTTTTTAAAAAGCACCTATGAGCAAAGATTCCGAATTGAAATTGTAAACTGAATACACCTCCAATTTAACTTTTTCCTTAAAACTACAGGGGATTAAAAAGAAAGAAATTGACATGGACAAAGAATGAGAATGTGAAACGCAATTCTGGACACTGGAAATCAGCTGAACATGTGGTATTGGACCCAAGAAGGCAAACAAGGAATGGGAGAGTGAAACCCATTTTTATTTTTTTTAAGACTGGGTTTCACCATGTTGGTCAGGCTGGTCTTGAACTCCCAACCTCGGTGATCTGCCCGCCTTGACCTTCAAAGTGCTTGGATTACAGGCGTGAGCCACCATGCCCAGCCGAGTAAAACCCATTTTTAGAAATTGTGAATCAGATCAACATGCAGTATCAGAAACATGAAAAGTGCAAACCTAAGTCTTCAGGGGGTGAAACAGAACCATTCCACTCAGGCCACTCCCCTGATTCCATCACCCAGTCTCCACTTTACTCTTCTTCCTTGCACTCACTGCCTGCAATGGGTTTACTTGTTCACTAGCTGATTACACGTCTCCCCTAATACTCTGCAACAGAACAAAGACTTCTTTTGCCCTTGTTCAGCACTGAATGAGTTGCCAGGACCTAGAAAACTGCTCCGTGCATAGAGGGTGCTCACCTACGGTAGCTGAATGAATGACTAATAATTACCATATGATATTCATCTATAAACAGTAATTCCCATAGATTATTTCAATTAAATTGTGACTGTCTAATCTACGTTTTTGCTTTTTGCTTTAATTTCCTAGTATATGTAAATAGCTGAAATGGTGAAAGTTTTTCCTCAAACATGTTTGTGTCACTCAAACTCAGGCAACAAGCCACTCTACACCGTCCTATATCTAATTCCAACAGAGTTAGTTCACTTAACTGCTCTTCAAATACGTATTGGCCCAAGAATTGGGGGAGTGGTAGAATAGATAAATGGAGCTAAGGTAAGGGTGACTACGAACCCTGGAACTCTCGTGGAAAGATGACTCTCAACAGAAGCTGCTCTCATTTCTGGTGTTCTAAGGAACAAGCCAGAGTCTTAGAGGCATACTCAAACCCAAAACCATTACTACACAATCAGCTCTTGCTATGATGAAAAGGTTAATATAAAGCTACTTAAATTTTTAACCTCTGGGTACACTTAAAGAAAGTCATTGCAGCAAAATTCACAATAGTAAAGACAAGGAATCAACCTAAATTCCCATCAATGATAGACTGAATAAAGAAAATGTGGTACATAAACACTGTGGAAAACGATGCAGCAACAAAAAGAGCAAGATCATATCCTTTGCAGGGACACAGATAGAGTTGGAGGACATTATCCTTAGCAAACTAACAGAGGAACAGAAACCAAATACTGCATGTTCTTACTTATAAGTGGGAAGTAAATGAGGAGAACACATGAACACATAGAGAGGAACACACACTGGGGTCTTTTGGAGGGTAGAAGGTGAGAGGAGGAAGAAGTTCAGGAAAAACAACCAATGGGTCCTAGGCTTAACACTTGGTGATGAAATAATCTGTACAACAAACCCCCATGACAAAGGTTTTCCTATGTAACAAAACTGTACTTGTACTCCTGAACATAAAATAAAAATTAAAAAAAGAACAAAAACAGCAAAAGAAAGTCTCAACCATCACACAACCCATATGCCACTAATCCAACATTCTGCTGTCTCCTTCTACCCACTTGCATCTTCATATGAAACCAGAGTAGAAGCAAATTCATTTACATGACAATTTTATCAACTGCCTTTTATGTTTACATACAAAAAACATGAGCTTAACAAAAACAGTGTTCAAGAAAAAATTAATAGAAGTAATACTGCTTGAAAGGCTAATTTTAACTTTTTTTTTCTCATCATAAACTAAGCTTAAGAAAGTAGTTATGTGGAAAGGATCTACTAAGAAGTTTCATTCATATTATTATTTGTAGACTCCTGAAGATAAGACTGAGTAAACCTGGTTTTTTCCAATTTTTATTCAAGAAATACTACTGTTTATAAATGAAATTAATAAATTAATGACTTTTTAAGCCTACTAGTCTTGGGATCTATTAAATTGGACAATTTTACCACTAAATATTTTTAATTGCTCTTGGATTCATTTTCTTAGTCAAGCTTACCAATGTCATCATCTGTCCGGTCAATTGGGTCCTTCTCTAGGCAGTCTCTCACAATGTCCCTACTCATCAGAGGATCTGATGCTCTCTCAATGTCTTCTTCATCATCGTCATCCTCGGAATCCACTGCTGTTTCTGGCAACCCACTCAGGTCCATATCACCAGCCTCGCTTTCCGTGGCCTTAAGACACACACACAGAAATAAACTATTTTAAGTAAATAAATCTTTGGGGCCCAAAAAAATAAGAGCAAGCCTCATTAAAAATAATGCTTTTGTTATATTTATTTTTCTATCCAACAATCATTTATGCACCGGAAACTATATATAACAATTACTTTAACAAAATATGAGTGATTTCGCCTCCTATTAAACTGGTCAGAAATAATATAAAAGTTAATATATTAATATATTTAATATATTAATATTAAAGTGTTCAGAAATAATCACTTTATCTCAGTAATTTTGATTTCCTATCTGAGTTGTCATATGGCATTTGAAACACAGAATACAGAAGAAAAAGACAATATTTGTTTTCACTCCATTTTTTCAAAGAGAATGGCTTATACTAACAGCTTAGGGATGACAATTAATTCTGAGCAATTCCTTTTGCAGAATAGGTGTGAATTTATTAATGCCAAGAAGACTGGACCATTTCTCTCCTATTAGATAGTCCTTATGGGAAAATGAGCCACAAATCAAAGGTAACTTGATAAATATATAAATAAAACATTAACAATTCGTTGGATTATCCCAATGACCACTGTTAAACTGTAAATCAAGAAACACTATAGGAGACCAAATGCTTAAAGGTAACATGGTCTTTCCTCCTATTCATCAACACAGGTCACCACATCACCAAATTTCAAGTTATCAAGATATACACAAATTTTCTAAGTCACTGGAATCACACATTTCAAGATGGTATCTTTTGTTGGGTTAGCTGAATCCTAGAACAGTTATCCTTTTTAGGTCAATATGCAACCTTTTGTGACTATCATCTCAGTATATATATATCATGTAGATCTTATTTGATATTATTTACCTAGACTTTACTTATCAGTTAAGCATAGTAAAAATGAACTCAATTAAATATTTACTATATCGATCTTGAAGATCATAAGTGTTTTTCCAGATGAAATATCAAAATCTTGAAAACATTAAACAATTATTAATTTTGTAGAAAATGTACATTACAAAGTTCATCAACTTCAAGTAAATCATAGCCAATATGATTCCCAAAGATAATAAATACCTTATTTTTAAGAGACAAATTTTTCTAAAAAAGAAAGATGAAAATATATTGACTGATAATAAGCTAACACTGAATACTTACAATGTGTCAGGCACTGCTTTAATTAGTATGTATTTATATTAACTCATTTAATCCTTAAAACAACCCTATAAAGTAAGAGCCATTATTAACTTTTATTATCCTCTGAACACTTAGGTGAACATTTTTCCAAGGTCATGCTGCTGACAAATTGTGGATGGAATCAAGATTAGAACCCAGGAATTCTGGCTTCAGACTCTTAACCACAATCTAAACTGTCTCTTTTTAACATTCACTGAATGCAAATGTGGTTTATGTAACGATCTATCCTTTTCCTATAATTTAATATTTACAGAATAAATTGTGTTTTTGTTTCCTTTTTTTTTTTGAGACAGTCTTGCTGTTGCCCAGGATGGAGTGCAATGGCATGATCGCAGCTCACTGCAACCTCTGTCTCCTGGGTTCATGCGATTCTCATGCCTAGCTGGAACTACAGATGTGCACCACCATACCTGGCTAATTTTTGTACTTTTAGTAGAGATGGAGTTTCATCATGTTGGCCAGGCCAGTCTTGAACTCCTGGCCTCAGGTGATCTGATCGCTATAACCTCCCAAAGTGCTGGGATTACAGGTCTGAGCCACTGCACCCAGCCTGTGCTATTTTCTTCTCAAAAAAGTTTCACCTTTGTAAAGTCTTGGTTCATATCACAGAACATAAGATTTAATCCTACATTTTGAAATAATACGAGCATGTGTTAACAATGAATTTTAATCATATTTTCTGTTCTTTAGGTACAATTTTCTGAACTAAAATGCATTTATTATTTTTAAAAAAAAACTTAAGGGGAAAATAATTGAAGACAGAAAAACTAATGTTTATAAAAGTTAAATGCTGTGGTCATTGTAAGCAAAGACACGCAGGTAGGAGAGCAATAAACCACTGCAGCCCATACCAACAGAACTGTGACACACTGAGAAACACATCTCATAATTTAAACTCAAAATTCGCCGAATCATTTCTAGATTTAAGAAGGAAACTAAAGTAGAACTTGTTGTGATATAGTATGCCAAGGTTGTGGTTAGAGAAAATAGGTCAATATTGCTATCAGTCCCTGACCCTGAAGATAGAAATACAATTTGCTAACGTTTGCTATCATCACATTTTCACCTCAGTTTCATCTTCACACTGAAAATTATTTATTACTCATCACCTTACATTTTCAAAAATATTATCAGTTCTCTATATAAACATTCTTTAATATTAGTATAGAGTGAAAAAAGAACACTACCAAAGACAGAAATTTTAAAAATCTTTAAGTCTGAAACAGAACATACTTATTAACTGTCAACTAGATTTATCTCTCCCAAACTGAACCTTCCTTCCACTTTATTTATGTAAAAGATCACAGTTGCTTTGCTATCTCTATGTGTACTCCATGCTTTAAGAAACAAACTATTCATAAAATAACATTTACTAAACCAAAAATTTAGAGATATTTAAAATAAATATCCATTTAAAATACTACAGATTCCCTAAATCATACCTTTTTAAAGAACTTGATAAATAACTTTTCAGTAACCTACAAATTTCACTGTATCACTGCCCTGTGGACAATAAGATGTTTAGAGACTGAGTGGAGTTAAAAGTTTAATGAACACAAACTGGTCTCCAGGAGGAGTACTGAACTCAAGCAGAGTGCCTAGAATGTAAGATGTACTGTGGGAACAAACTCACAGCTTTGGGGCTCCAAATCTCACCTCTACTATTCACTATGGGATTTTAGCAAAGTCACTTAACCTCCACAAGCCCATCTTATCATTGATGTAAACTGTAGATACGGTTTCTTACTACTTATCGGACTGCTTTTGAATCCAATAAGGGAAAAAGAAAGCCAGTCTCAAGCTAAATCAGAAGTCCCTTCCTTAAGGGGATACATTCTTCATCTTAGTACTTATATACCTTCCACCTCTTCCTGTACCAGCAATGAACCTTGCACACAATTTATATTTGTGGAATTTGGCTAAAAACCCCCCAAAATTCTACTAAACATCGCACTCTTCTCATATACTTGTAAAATAATATCTTAGACTAACTGTACCAATACATTCTGGCCAACTGGTACATACAACAATTATAAAAATAGTGATCCTATATTGAATGACTATCATATGTCTCTAACACTAAACTTGATGTTTTAAAACATAATAATCTTCATATCAATTCATCAAGTTAGTATTATTAACCCTATTTTACAGGGGAGAAAGTGTCGAGGAAATTAAATAAGTTGTTCAACGTAAGCAAAACAAAAGCCAGTAACTGTGCCAGGACTCAAAATCGGGTCTGACTAACCAAGAGCTACTAAGTACTCTGCACTTTGCCCAACATTCTCAATGGACAGTTATAAAGAAAGTAGTTGAAGTATAACACAGTATTAAAATGTTTTCCGCTTTACTAATTCACAAAAGATAAAAACTTTAAATACATATTTGCACATAAATGGAAAACACTTGTTTTCTAGCTTCCCCCAAAAGACAACACTACTAAGACTCATGCCTATCTTTAAATCCTTTTTTTCTAAACAAAGACACTAAAACAGATACTTTATATTTAAAACGTTACCTGATTATATCTGTCTCAGGAACAAGGAGAAAGGTTTACACAGTTAAGTTAGCCAAATAACTCCTGTCTTCAATTTATCTTATACATGTACAGACTACCATAGATTTTGTTGTCCATTAATATTTAAACAGTAATATTCCTTTAAAAATAATATTCTCAGATCAATACTGAAAGCTCCACAATTTATTTAAATAAAAAGGGACTATATTCTGCTATTGTGAACACAGTTCATAGAACCAATGTTATATTAAAAAAATAATAATAAAGAAAATTAACAAAAAAATTTTAATGCCGTAAAGCTCAAGTATTAATTTCATATTTAAGTCCTTATATACTCAATTACTAATATGTTTTAAATACTTATTTAAGGTGGATACATTTGCTTTTCTTTTCTGTAAGTTACCTACTACTGTCCTTTGAACATTGTAACATTGTGAGCTGAGTATTTATCTTATTTGCATAAATCAGTTACATTTTGACTTTAAATCTTCATATCAATTGATGTTTTAATTACAAAATGTTTTGATCCTTTATTAAAACATTGTTTGGTAACTTTTTAGTTTATCAGGAATTTATTTTAATTATGATACAAAATGAGAATACAACATGACTCTCCGACCCCAAACACCATTTATTGAATTATCCATCACTTTATTGATTTGTGAAGTTTCCTCTATTACATATTACATCCTTACACATGAGTTCCATTTTGCTTGAACTCTCTGTTCTATTGATCTATCTATTTTTGTACAACTATTTTCGGTTCACCTAAGCCACTCGCTCTGACAGACACGCCATTTAATCAGGACCTTATCATGGCTGGAATTGGCATTGTCTTGTATCACTAACTTAGGCATTAAAGCTTTCAATCACCAACAACCTTCTATTCTTTCAACCTACTCCCATCTGCTTCCAAGGTAACCCTTTTTCAACTTAAGAAGGATCTTTGCTCTTCAAGACTCTACTACCCTCTGTGTCTAGTGTTCACACCTCCTGTTTTAATTCCTTTCATATCCAGTTTATATTTCCTAGTCTATTATTTCAAATATATTCATTCAACACATCTTTACTGAATGCCTAAAATTTCCTGGCACTGTACTAGGCTCTAGGGGAAAAAAATGGAGACAAGTTCCCTGCCTTCTTTAACGTGTCATTCTACTAGGCAGACACACACACAGAAAGTAATAATTGTTTCAATCAGCGTCTAGGAAGGAAATAAAAAGACTAGGCAGGAAAGGAATAAAAATGGAAGACTTCCTTTACAGAGGGTTATAAAGGAAGAACTCTCTG